TGCCTTCTGCCTGAAGTACTTCCTTGCCATTTTTCTTTGCTGTGCAGGTTTGCTGACAACGAATTCTTTCAGCTTTTGTGTGTATAAAAAAGTATTTTTGATGGCAGGGGGTTTGGTTTTGGTTTGGTTTAGTGTTTCCTGGTAGCGCAAAGTACAAAATAAATATGCATGGTTCCACATTAATATAAATAAATGATTCAATAAATACATAAATGAAGGAGGAGAGAGAAATATATCTTCCAGAAGAATCCAAAATAATATATGTACGTACCTCCACTCCAGGAGGTAGAAGCTGATTCTTTCCCTTCCTCTGAGGGTGGACCAGACTTAGTCACTTCTGAAAACTAGATTATGGGAAGGGAAAAATAGTAACTTAACAGTGGAGAAGTCTGCTTAATCAAGTTAACATCACTATTGAGTGATGTTATATGGATACCATGTTCTCCCTGACATGATGTGATGAGAAGGGCAATTCTGCCCTCTTCTATCCTGAAATTCATAATTCTACTCTAATCATGAGGAAAACATCAGACAAACCTAAACTTGAGGATCAGTCTACAAAATGTCTGACCAGTACTCCTTAGAACTATCAAGGTTATTGAAAAGAAGGAAAGACTGAGAACTGTCATAGACCAGAGAAGACTGGGGGGACATGAGAACTACATGCAGTGTGGTCTCCTGGGTGGGACTCTGGATCAGAAAAAGGATATTAATTGAAAAACTTGTACTGTCAGAACAATGGCTTTAGTAAATAGTATTGTACTAAAGTTGGTTTCTTAGTTTTGACAAAGGAACTATGGTAATGTATGATATTAACAATAGGGGGGAACTGGGTGAGAGGCATACAGGAAAGTTCTGTATGATCTTTCAACTTTTCAGAAAGTCTAAAATTATTCCAAAATAAAATGCTTGCTAAAAAATACTTGACAGATTTTTTTAAACTATATGGAATCAAAAAATGTAAATAGAAAGTACTTTGTGTTAATCATTTTTCTCTGGTTATATGTGTTATTTTAATATTATAATTTTACTCCTGAAAGCAGAACAATATGCCGTATTACTATTATTTATATTTACAACATTCATAAACAGTAGTATCATTTATATGTAAGGTTTAGTAACTTATAAAATCATTAATTTCTGAAACTTTTAAAACTATATATTGAAGTTAATAAGGGACAAATTAGTAGCTATTTTGAAAGGAAGAAATTAATTTAGAATAGTGGTACACAGGATCTAAGATGTACCACTATTCTAAATTAATTGTTATTAATTGTAATTAATTGTAGGATCTAAGATGTTGGAGCACGTATGGGCAGGGCCGGTAAGCATCAATAAACTTGGCTCAGGCAGGGGGTGTCGGAGTGGCTGGGGGCGGCGCAGGTAAGCGTTACCGCCAGTCCACTGGAGGGTGTTGGAGCGGCTGGGGGAGGCCGGGAAATGAGCAGAGGGATTTGGAATAGCTAATGGAGGCAAACTTGTCTGTCAGTTTGTCTTTGCGGTGGTGGCTTGCATACTGCCCCCAGCCCATGCCACTGGCATTTCAAATGCCAGCCGGGTTACCAATGGAAGACAGGCTTCAGTGGAGTTTCCAGACTAAGACAGACTTGGAAGAAGGAAGAGGCCATCCACTTCTCAAAGAATTGGCCAGTGAAAACCTTATGAATAGCAGTGAAACACTGTCTGATATATTCCTGGAAAACTTTATGAATAGCCCTGAAACATTGTATAATATAGTGCCTGAAGATGAGCCCCTTGGGTCAGAAGGCACTCAGAATACAACTGGGGAAGAGCCGCCTCCTCAGAGTAGAGCCAACCTTAATGATATGGAAAGAGTAAAGCTTTCGGGACCTTTATTTGCTGATACGGGATGTCTCAAGATAAGAAACAGCTGCAAACATCCACTAATAATTGGAGCATGGAATGTATGAACTATGACTCTAGGAAAATTAGAGGTTGTCAAAAATGAAATGGAATGCATAAAGATTGGTACGGCATTAGTGAGCTGAACTAGACTGGTTTTGGCAATTTTGAATCAGACAAACATATGATCTACAATGCTCAGAATGACAAATTGAAGAAAAATGGAGTGGCATTCATCATCACAAAGAATGTTTCATGATCTATCCTGAAGGCACAATGCTGTCAGTGATAGGATAATCTCCATATGCCTACAAGGAAGACCACTTGATACTACTATTCAAATTTACACACCAACCACCAAAGCCAAAGATGAGGAAATTGAAGGTTTTTACAAAATTTTGCAGTCTGAAATTGACCAAACATGCAATCAAGATGTGTTGGTTATCACTGTGACTGAAATGCAAAAGTTGTAAACAAAGACTCACCAGTCGTTGGGAAGTATGGCCTTGGTGATAGAAATAACGCTGGAGATCGCAAGATAGAATTTTGTCAGACCAACGACTTACTCATCACAAGTAACTTTTTTTAGTAACACAAACGGTGGCTGTATATGTAGACTTCACCAGATGGAGTACACAGGAATCAGATTGACTATATCTGTGGCAAGAAACAATGGAGAAGCTCAATATCTTTTGCCAAAACAAGGCCAGGAGCTGATTGTGGAACAGACCATCAACCGCTCATAATGCAAGTTAAACTTGAAGTTGAAGGCAATTAAAACAAGTCTACAAGAGCCAAAATATAACCTTGATTATACCCCTTCTGAACTTAGAGACCATCTAAAGAATAGATTTGATGCTTTGAACACCAGTGACTAAAACCCAGAGAAACTGTGGGATGACATCAAGGATAATCATCCATGAAGAAAGCAAAAGGTCATTAAAAAGGAAAGAAATAAAAGAACAAAATGGATGTCAGAAGAGTCTCTGAAACTTGCTCTTGAGTGAAGAGTAGCTAAAGCAAATGGAAGAAATGACAAGATAAAAGAGATGAACAGAAGATTTCAAAGAGCAGCTTGAGAAGACAAAGTCAATTATTATAATGAATTGTGCAAGGATTTGGAGTTAGAAAACTAAAAGGGAGAACACGCTCAGCATTTCTCAAGATGAAAGAACTAGAAAAAATTTAAGCCTCGAATTTCAATATTGAAAGATTCCACGGGTGAGATGTTGAATGATGCAGGAAACATCAAAAGAAGATGGATGGAACATACAGAATCACTGTACCAAAAAGAATTGGTAGATGATCATCCATTTCAGGAGGTGGCATATGATCAAGAACCAATGTATGGTATTGAAGGAAGAAGTTGAAGCTGCATCGAAGGAATTGGTGAAGAACAAGGTGCTAGGAATTGATGGAATGAATATCCATTGAGATGTTTCAACAAATGGATGCCGTGTTGGAGGTACTCACTCATTTATGCCAGGAGATTTGGAAGACAGCTACCTGGCCAACTGACTGGAAGAGATCCATATTTGTGCCCATTCCAAAGGAAGGTGATCCCACAAAATGTGGAAATTATTGAACAATATCATTGATATCACAAGAAAGTAAAATCTTACTGAAGATAATTCAAAAATGGTTAAAGGAGTATATTGACAGAGAACTTCCAGATGTACAAGCTGGATTCAGAAGGGGGCATGGAGCAAGGGATATTATAACTGATGTCAGGTGGATCTTGGCTCAAAGCAAAGAATACCAGAAAGATGTTTACCTGTGTTTTATTGAATGTGTGAAGGATTTGATTGTGTGGATCATAACAAACTGTGGATAACATTAAGAAGAATAGGAATTTTGGAACACTTAATTGTACTCATAAGGAACCTGTACATAGACCAGGAGGCTGTTGTTTGAACAGAACAAGGGGATACTGCATGGTTTAAAATCAGGAAGTGAGTGTGTCAGGGTTGTATCCTTTCACCATACCTATTCAATCTGTATGCTGAGCAAATAACCCGAGAAGCTGGACTATATGAAGAAGAATGTGGCATCAAGATTTAGAGGAAGGCTTATTAACAACCTGTGATACTCAAATGAGACAGCTTTCATTGGTGAAAGTGAGGATGACTTGAAGCTCTTACTGATGAAGATTAAAAACTACAATCTGCAGTATGGATTACACTTCCATATAAAGAAAACAAAAATCCTCACAACTGAACCAATAAGCAACATCACGATAAATGGAGAAGAGATTGAAGTTGTTAAAGACTTCATATTGTTTGGTTCTACAATCAGTGCCAATGGAAGCAGCAGTGAAGACATCAAAAGACCTGTTGCATTGGGCAAATCTGCTGTAAAAGAGCTCTTTCAAGTGCTGAAGATCAGAGATATCTCCTTGAAGCCTACAATGCGTCTAACCCAAGCCATGGTATTTTCAATCACCTCATATGCATGTGAGAGCTGGACAATGAGTAAAGAAGACCAAAGAAGAGTTGGTGCTTTTGGCTGTGGTATTGGCAAAGAATGCTGAAAGCATCGTGGACTGTTAAAAGGACTCACAAATCTGTCCTGGAAAAAGTGCAGTTGGAATGCTCCTTGGAAGCAAAATGGCCAGACTGCGTTTCACCTACTTTGGCCATGTTGTGAGAAAGGACCATTCTCTGGAGAAGGATGTTATGCTTGGTAAAGCGGAGGGTCAACGACAACAGGGAAGGCCCTCAACCAGGTGACTGCAGCAGTGTGCTCAGGTATAGTAGGGAGAGTGAGGCTGACACAGGACCGGGCAACATTTCATTCTGTTTTCATAAGGTTGCTGTGAGTCAGAGACGACTCGACGGCACAGAACAGCAACAACAGTGTCTGAAACCATATTGTTTTAAGAGACATGATTTTGGAAATATTTGTTATCTTGGTATTGTGCTTGATCATAATATAGCATTATCAGTTTTTTAATAGTTATTTAATAGCATTATCAGTTAAAGAAATAAATAAGCTTATGGAGCAGAAGAATACTTAAAAGTAATTTAAAATTATTATTAATACTATTAATTATTAATGTTAATGATAAATTTTAAATTATTAACAATTAATTACCAACTATGAAATTATTATAATTATAGTTTCTATTTCTTTTTTAGATTTATTATCTAGGATAGATTTGGATGAACTAATGAAAAAAGATGAACCACCTCTTGATTTTCCTGATACCCTGGAAGGATTTGAATATGCTTTTAATGAAAGTAAGTAGTATATGACAGTGCTAACAGAGTCCTAGTACAGATACCATTTGCTACTTTTAATAGTCAGCAAGAATGTTTTATGTATTTCTTTTGAGAAGTAATGACTTATCCTTGCATGGTGAAATTCTTCACTCAAGTGAAGGAACCAAGTTGCAGTTTCCCATAGTTGTCAAGTCACCTGAACTAATGGGCATGAATTTGATTCAATTTATGCATTGCAACCTTGAGCGTTCAACTCCCTGGTATCCAATTGGATCTCTTAATTAAATTATATAGAAAGATGCTTTTGTTTCATATATTATTTGAAATTAAGGGACTGACAATAATTATCTTTGATAATGTTTTAAAGTATAATACCTGGATTTTTTAAGACAACATCTTGTTTTATATTTATGAAGTTCTGAAGTTCTGAATAGAATAAACTTTGTACTTTGGATCTGGAAGAACATAACACAGATTGCCAGGATGTTTCTGGAACAAAATATTTGATTCACAGGATTAATAACATACTCTTATACTTGAAGGGTTATGTTATTATAGGCTACAAAGCATTTCTGTTTGCTGCTCTGTATCCACTGAATTGGTGATCTGTCATTGTCATTAGTGGATATCTTTTTCTTCACAAAATCATGAATATTATATTCTTATATGTGTGTTAAAGTCAATTATAGGTGTTAGAACTTAACAGTGATAGTCCCTGTATAGTAAAGTGGAGATATTAGAAACTTTGTTTTTGTGTGTGTGTGTGATAGGAATTTTCATGTCTTTTTTATAAAGAATATTTTATGCTAAAATATGCATAAGTAATACTATCTTTGGTTTTTTAAAAAAAGTCTTTGTATTTCAATTAATATTAATTGTATTTCAGTTAATCAAATGGGCATTAATACTTATATTGCCTCTGTTCCTTTGAAATAACCACGAGAGTCTTTTGAAACACAAATGGGAGAGTGTGTTGGTAGCATAGGTTAATCATAGCACATTTGCTTGCTAGGTTGCAAACCTCAGGTTTCACTGAGTCTAACTTTTACTTTTGCCTGAACAAAAGAGTGAGTAAAAAGCAAACCAACAGTATACTTTTATCTTTCATAAGGTGCATTCAAACATACACACACACCTTTGTATGTGTTTGTATACTTTTGTGTACACCTATCCTGCAGTCACACACTTGTACACACATACACCCTTGCATACACGTGTGCCCTTTCATGCACACACACTCACATATATCGTTACTCTTGCTTACAGCTACCATTTATTTTTTAAATATCTTTCACATTCTCTTGTGTAGATGTAGACTAATAGCATTAAGCAAAGGTACTTGTATTTAAAGAGAAAATACTACTTTTAAGCGTCTTATATTTAGCATAATCCAGTTCATCTTTTAGTGCAGGATTATTGGTTAGTATATTTTCAAAGACATGAGAATTTGAAAATAAGGAGACTTGGTCTCAATAATAAATCCCTGAAAGGTCATTGTTAACTTACTATCTTCAATGGCTTCCTTTTCAAGTTTAGTGATTTAACTTTTCTTTCAATCTTTCTTCTCTACTGCACTTTCTCATTGGAGAAAATAGAATATTACTACTGTTTAAACTTGAGCATGTTCCTTCTTTGCCTCCACACCCTTTCTTTCGTTTTACTGACTTTAGGATAAAGTCCAAACCTACTAGCTTTTCATTCAGGGCCTTTTACAGTTTGATCCCAATTTGTCCTCCAATCTTCTATTATACTATTTGGCTCAAAATTCTTTTTTTTTTTTCCACCCTGTCAAACTGCATTGTTTACTCTGATTTGAACTTGATGTCCATTTTTCACAATTTTGTTTATGTTGTCTAGTCTGTGAGATATCTCTCTCCTGATCACCAAGGGAATAGAATAGTCCCGGGGAAAGAAAGAATATGGGTGGCCTTGTCTATTCTCTTTGTAAACTTTTGATAATTAAATTTTAGTAAATACAGACTAATATTTGCTATGAGGAGAGTCCTTACATGAGCAGGAACACTCTGGTTTAGCGTAGTTTATGATAAACAGACCTACACTCTTGGGGACATATGCAGCATATTTCTGTGGAGAATATTCCAATAGCAACTTAACTCTTTGGTATATAAAATGGAGATATTTTGTAACCAAAATGCTCACCAATGTGTGAGGTAAACCCAAATCCCTCACTTAGAAATCTCACCTACTCTGGATGGACAGAGTGTATCTATTATGAGAGGGAAAAGCCTGGGGAAGTGCCCAGGATGTCTCAGACCTCGGTCTGCTTTGCCTTGCTTCCTGATTGTTTGTACTCTTGAAATTGTTAGTAAAGTTTAGTCATTATTAGTAAAGACCTCTGATTTGAATAAGTTTGATATGACAATTAAAGCCTATGCATTAGGTCACTGCCCAAATTTCCATTTGAATTCCTAGCCATATTTCAAGTACTAGTTGAGAAATCTCACTGAAACTTCTGAGTCCATTCCAATCCACAGGAATCCTTCATTTTCCCAAACTTCTTCTACATTTTATTATCTACCTGAGGTGCCTGCTGCAGTTTTTAGATTATTGATTTATTTCATTCTTGTTTGTTTAACTTCCTAGGAAGTTGCTTAACTTTTTAGTCATTTATGCTTTGTCTTCTCCAGTAGTCTCTAAGTTTCTTGATGACTGGGACCACACTTATGGCAATAGATCTTTATACATAGAAGTCCCAAATATTCTTAATTTGCTTTAGATTAAAGAGACGAGGAATAAGAAGCGTAGTTTTTGAATACTTGGGGACTGTTCTTTTATTATTGTTGTTGTTATGTGCCGTTGAGTCGTCTCTGACTTATATTGACCTTATGTATACAGAATGAAACACTGTCCAGTCCTATGCCAGCTTCATGATCCCTACTATACCTGAGCCCATTGCTGCAGCCACTGTGTCAGTCCATCTTGTTGAGGGCCTTCCCTTTTTTGTTGATCCTTTACTTTACCAAGCATGACATCCTTCTCCAGAGAATGGTCCTTTCTGACAAAATGACCAAAGTAGGTGAGATGAAGTCTGGCCATTCTCACTTCCAAGGAGCATTCCACTGTACTTCTTCCAAGACAGATTTGTTAGTCCTTTTAGATGGTACTTTGAGCATTCTTTGCCAACACCACAACTCAAAACCACTAACTCCTCTTTGATCTTCCTTATTCATTGTCCAGCTCTCACATGCATATGAGACAGTTGGGTTAGGAACATCTTAGGCTTCAAGGAGATATCTTTGCTCTTCAGCACTTTAAAGAGGTCTTTTGCAGCAGATTTGTCTTGTGCTATACATCATCTGATTTCTTGACTGCTGCTTCCATTGGTGTTAATTGTGGAACCAAGTAATATGAAATCTTTGACAACTTCAGTGTTTTCTCCATTTATCGTAATACTGTTTATTGGTCCACTTGTGAGGATTTTCATTTTCTTCATGTTGAGATGTGATCCATACTGCAAAACTGTGGTCTTTAATATTTACCAGTAAGTGCTTCAAGTCATCCTCACTTTCAGCAAGCAAAAGCTGTCTCATTTGAGTATCACAGGTTGTTAATAAGCCTTCCTCTAAATCTTGATGCCACATTCTTCTTCATATAGTCCAGCTTCTCGGGTTATTTGCTCAGCATACAGATTGAATAGGTATGGTGAAAGGATACAACCCTGACACACTCATTTCCTGATCGTAAACCATGCAGTGTCCCCTTGTTCTGTTCAAATGACAGCCTCCTGGTCTATGTACAGGTTCCTCAAGTGTTCTGGAATTTCCATTCTTCTCAGTGTTATCCACAATTCGTTATGATCCACACAATCAAATGCTTTTTCATGGTCAATAAAACACAGGTAAACATCTTTCTGCTATTTTTTGCTTTGAGCCAAGATCCATCTGACAACAGCTATGATATCCCTTGCTCCATGTCCCCTTCTGAATCCAGCTTTCATTTCTCGAAGTACTCTCTCAATATACTACTGTAACTATTTTTGAATTATCTTCAGTAAGATTTTGCTTGCTTGTGATATCAATGATATTGTTCAATAATTTCCACATTTTATGGAATCACCTTTCTTTGGAATGTGTACAAATATGGCTCTTTTCCAGTCAGTTGGCCAGGTAGCTGTCTTCCAAATCTCTTGGCATAACTGAGTGAGTGTCTGCAGTGTAGTATCCATTTGGGTATTCCGTCAATTCCTGGAGCCTTGTTTTTCGCCAGTTCCTTCAGTGCAGCTTCAACTTCTTCCTTCAATACCGTTGGTTCTTGATCATATGCCACCTCCTGAAATAGATGATCATCTACCAGTTCTTTTTGGTATGCTGACTCTGTATAGTCCATCCATCTTCTTTTGATGTTTCTTGCATCATTCAACATATGGCCTATGATGTTGTTAGGTGCTGTTGAGTTGTCTCCAACTCATAGCGACACTATGCACAGCAGAACGAAACACTGCTCAATCCAGTGTCAACCTTGTGATCTTTGCTATACCGGAGCCCATTGTTGTAGCCACTGTGTCAATCCATCTCATTGATTGTAGTCATGAGGAACCTGTACATGGACGAGGAGGCTGCTGTCATTCGAGCAGAATAAGGGGATACTTCATGGTTTAAAATCAGGAAGGGAGTGTGTCAGGGTTGTATCCTTTCATCATACTTACTCAATCTGTATACTGATTGAATAAGTATGTAAATTATGGATCACATGTCATGGAGATGAATTGACAGTATTGCAATTTAAGGCTTAAATTTTTTCCTCAGTTCTTTCAGCTTGAGAAATGCCAAGCTTTTTGTTCCTTTTTGTTTTTTTAACTCTAGGTATTTGCACACTTCATTATAATAATTGACTTTGTCTTCTCAAGCTGCTCTTTGCAATCATCTGTTCAGCTCTTTTTTCCTGTCAATTCTTCCATTTGTTTTAGCTACTCTCTGTTCAAAGGCAAGTTTCAGAGTCTCTTCTGAGATCCATTTTGTTCTTTTCCTCTTTTTCTGTCTTTTTCAACTTTTAAAGAA